CGGGAGACGAGCGAGGCGCAGCCGCCGGGGCCCGCGCCCTCGGATGACGCTCCGCTGCCCGGCCCGGGACCCTCGGATGGCTCCGACGTGGCCGCAGAGAAGGTGGAGGTGGAGCTGTCGAGGTCAACGGGCGACGAGCCCCCCGTCCCCCCCGAGGGCGGCTGGGGCTGGGTGGTGATGCTGGCGGCCATGTGGTGCAACGGATCTGTGTTTGGCATCCAAAATGCCTACGGGGTGCTCTTCGTGTCCATGCAGGACACCTTCGGGGCCAAGGACAGTGACAACATGGCCTTCAAGACAGGTGGGGCGTTGCGGCGGGCCGAGGGGACAGGCGGGGTGGGAACACACACCGCGGGAGCTTGGTGCGTCCTCTGGTGCTGGGAGGGTATGAGCGGTGGGTCTGACCCGTCGTACTTGCAGCTTGGGGCTTCCGTGTGCCGGTCTTTGTACGGAATCTGCCAGGATCGTGCGTTTGGAAGCAAGTTGCAGAGTTGTGCCAGCCCTAGGCTTCTTTCGGCAGAGTGGGCGCCAAGAATCCGCAGTACTTTCCTCTAAGTGTTGGAAAGCAAACGGAACGGTCCTGCACAAACAACATTGCACTGTCTTTCTTAAAGTCTGTGTGTGTGTGTGTGTGTGTGTGTGTGTGTGTGTGTGTGTGTGTGTGTGTGTGTGTGTGTGTGTGTGACCGCCACGGTTATCCGCTTGCTGTGCTGCAGAACGATGTGTGTGTGTGTGTTTGGGTGGGTGCGGTGCAGCCAGGCGCGGGTGATTGGCAAGATGGAAAAGTGGATCCCAAGGTCACAGGGAGCCCCAAAAGGCAGCTCATCAAAAGTGGTAGTCTGATGTCTCTCTGCACTCTACTAAATATAGAAAGCATAGGAGGCAGCCACGTGGGAAGAGGAAGATAAGGGCTTGCACCTCCTGTTGTGTTGACATTTTTTTTTTCCACCTTGCGGAAATAAAATGCAAAACGTGCAGACTCCGCATTTTTATGAAGTGCTTTTGCCTGACTTCTTGACGGATTATGCAATACTCAAGTCTAGGCTCTTCTGCATACCATTTTTTTTTTATTATTTCATCTCACGCTGCAAGGCAGTTGCTGTCAGCTCTGTTTGGGTGAGAAAACTGAAAGTCAGTGAAAAGAAGTGTCTTGGTGAGGAACAGAATAAAGATAGAACTCATCACCTGATTTCAAGACTGAGTGATTCTCATTGCTAAATCAGGCTACCACTGCCTTTTGGGAAACTTCATAAGATCAATAATTTCTGTGTTTCTCTCTGCTCAGCCTGGCCTTGAACTCAAGATCCTCTTGCCTCAGTTGGGATTACAAGAACATTCTGCACCATACTGGGCAATAAATAGTCTTTTAAAACAACAATAGGTTCTCACTATGTAGTCCTGGCTGGCCTAGAACTTAACACATAGGCCAGGCTGTCCTCAGACTCACAGAGATCCACTTGCCTCTGCCTCCCAAGTGATGAGATTACAGGAATGTACTACCACAGCCTCACACGATAGTCTTTTTTTAACCTTTAGTTTCTGCTTTTAGAGTGCATATTGCTTAGATTTTTGTTGTGCACACAGAGCAAATAAACAGGATGGTCATTACAAATTGTAAGGGAAGGTGGTTGAAATCCTGCTCCCAGCTGAAATCCTTGTGAGCCCAAACTTCCACGTCTGAAAAGGGAGCCCAACCCATGGAGTTGCCGGAAGATGAAAGAAGAAATAGGGTACGTGGTGTACTTAGACACAGAAGTGTCAAGAATCATGCAAAATAATCCGTGTTTGCTATTGTGTCTTCATATCTATCCTGCTGCAGTGTACAAGGGTTACCTTCCTTCAGTTAAAACTGAAGGATTTTAAAATTACCTTTCCTTTCCTTCTTTAGTGTTGGGTGGGAACGGGCTCTGGGCATGCTAGTCAAAGGCTGTGCTGCTTCTCTAAATTTCACATGATTTTCATTACACGGATATGTTGTACTCTATGCACTCTCCCCTTAAGAGACATTTAGATTGCTTTCAAACTTATAAAAATACTTTATAAAAAGCTCATGCACCGATGTATCACTGTGTGAATAATGATGTATCATATTTAATGGGGAATTTCTGTTCCTTAAGTGGCTGTTGAAGTTGCTGTGTTGGGCAGGGTCAAAGACTTAGGTACAGTGTGTTAAAAATGTTCTCAGTTTTAACTGAAGGAAGGTAACCCTTGTACACTGCAGCAGGATAGACATGAAGACGCAATAGCAAACACGGATTATTTTGCACGATTCTTGACACTTCTGTGTCTAAGTACACCACGTACCCTATTTCTTCTTTCATCTTCCGGCAACTCCATGGGTCGGGCTCCCTTTTCAGACGTGGAAGTTTGGGCTCACAAGGATTTCAGCTGGGAGCAGGATTTCAACCTCATGTTTGTTGGACTTCCGGACCTAGGTTTTTAATCGCTGATCATACTGCACTGGCTGGCTAGATCACTCTGCACATCCGGTATTTTCATGTTCCTACAGTGCTTCTGGGGTTAAACATCTGAAAGGCTAGGGATTTAGCTCAGTTGGTGGAGTAGTACTCACACACAGTACTACAACACTTTATAAAGACAGGCCTGGTGGCATATGCCTGGAGTCCCAGCACTCTGGAGGACAGGCAGGACGATCAGGAGTTCAAGGTCATATGACCTTCAGCTTCAAGCAAGTTTGAGGCCTCCATGGTTTACAAGAGACCCTGTCTTAAAAAAAAAAATTCAACTAGTAAACAATGACTGCTGTTTATGTCTTGTCAAATGATTTTTGAAATGTAGAGACTTCCACAGGGAAAAAAAAATCTACTTTTTAAAGGGCATTCATGCAAAATTCTGGTTAGAGTAGGGAAGCCCTGCCTGGCAGTGCCAAGAGGAGATTTTGTAGCTAGAGTTTTCCTGCCTTGCCCACAGTCAGGACAAATCTTTGTCACCCGCCAGTCCCACAGCCGCTCAGACCCAACCAAGTAAACACAGAGACTTATATTGCTTACAAACTGTATGGCCATGGCAGGCTTCTTGCTAACTGTTCTTATAGCTTCAATTAATCCATTTCCATAAATCTATACCTTGCCACATGGCTCATGGCTTACCGGCATCTTCACATGCTGCTTGTCATGCTTCCCAGAATTCTCCTCTCTCCTTGTTCCTCCTATACTTCCTGCCGGGCCACTGGCCAATCAGTGTTTTATTTATACAGAAGGACATCCACAGCAAGATTTCCTTGGGGTTCTTCTCCCTAAGAGTATCTTGTTTGGTTTGTGTTTTTGAGAAAGGATCTCGCCACCTCTTCAAGACTATCTTAATTCTTTTTTGTTCGTTTTTTCCCCCTGAGACAGGATTTCTCTGTGTAGTTTTGGGTGCCTGTCCTGGAACTTACTCAGTAGCCCAGGCTGGCTTCAAACTCACAGAGATCCCCCTGCTTCTGCCTCCCGGGTGCTGGGATTAAAGGTGTGTGTCCCCACGCCTGGCTCTTCATTCTTAATGTATAACCTAGCCAAAGTTCTCATGCAAGGGTCTGATGAGATTTACTCCCACTAATTTATAAGTGAGTTTCACTCCTGTTTGGTTGTGAAACCAAACACTCCCGCCCTCCGCCCTCCCCTTTGAGACAAGGTCTGTTATACAGTCTTGGCTCGCTAGAATCACTGTGTAGACTAGGCTGGCCTTGAACTCCACCCATATCTGTCTCCTAAGTGCTGGGATTAAAGGCGTGTGCCCCATGCTCACCCCGCCCCCTCTTCTTACGTACAAATGCTTGCTCTTTTGGAGCTGGTGACACAGGAAGTTTAAACAATGCCAGCGCCTCTCGGAGTTTAGGGTCTGTATAGGAGTACACCAGGGAAAGTGTCGGATTTCTCCCCTGAGACACACACACTAGAAAGATCCTCAACCCTGTTCTAAAAGACTGAAATTCTAAGTGGTGGGAACTGGGAGAGGCCACTGATAGCCTTTCTCTCTGGTTATAAAAATCTCGGTGATATTGAGGTGTTGGAGTGGGGATGCTAGCTGAACTCCAAGTTGGGCAGTAAAATGCCTAAAGCATACAGCGTGAAAGACACCCCCCCCTTCCCGCTGTGATGCCCAGGTGCTGATGACAAGACAGCGTCCCACAGCGTGACATGTCGGAAGTGGCGTAGGTAGGACTAACAGAGCTTGAGTTGTCTTTTCCATGACAGTTTTACCCATTACATTCCATGGGTGGAAGGGAATCAGTCTGGAAAAGAAAGAAAATGGGTACATTTAACTGGAGCATTGTTTTCTGCTAGAATCTACAACGTTGTTTTAACTGCTGAACCCTGAAAAACCATGGCACTGCTAAGTCTAGTACTCTCTGTCTTCTCATTCAGTGCCATGGGCCAGTCTTTGGGACCAAGCAAGGGTATTAACCTTATCTGCTGTTTTCTTCCTGGGGAAAGACGAATATTTTTTTTTCCCAAGGTTTATTTATTTATTATGTATACAGTGTTCTGTCTGCAGGCCAGAAGAGGGCACCAGATCTCATTACAGACAGTTCTGAGCCACCATGTGGTTGCTGGGAATTGATCTCAGGACCTCTAGAAGAATAGCCAGTGCTCTTAAACTCTGAGCCATCTCTCCAGCCCCCCAAAGACAAATATTTTAATGGTGTGTTTGATTGCTTTTTAAAACTATCTATTAAAGACAGGTATGTTTTTAGAATTTGTATTTAGGTTAGAACTAATGCTAATCTTTTGAAGAAATTACTGTTTTTGAACCAAAGGCTTGGCTTCTTTCAGTAATTCTCCCAGTATGTTATTTTTGTAAAAAGTATTTTTGTGAATGTGTGTGTGTGTGTGTGCCTGCGTGTGCATGTGCATGTTTGTGTGAGGGTGTGTTCATACCATGTTATGTCTGTGGAGGTTGGAGGGTGTGTGTGTGTGTGTGTGTGTGTGTGTGTGTGTGTGTGTGTGTATGAGTATGTGTTCATTTCATAGTATGTCTGTGGAGGTTAGATGATGTGTGCATGCATGCATGCGTGTGTGTGCGTATGTCTACGTGTGTCTGGAGGTAGGAAGATGTGTGTATTGTGTGTATGTACATGTGTGTGTGTGAGTGTGCGTGCATTCATGTCAAGGTGTGTCTGGAGGTAGGAAGATGTGTGTATTGTGTGTATGTACGTGTGTGAGTGTGCGTGCATTCATGTCAAGGTGTGTCTGGAGGTTGGAGGACAACCCTGGGTGTTGGTTCTCACCATCAGCTTTTGTGTAGGTCTTGGGCTTGAGCAACAAGGGCTTTTGCCCACGGAGCCATTTCCCTAGCCTC